AGGCCGATGAAGATGTTTTGGCACCAGAGGATCAAAATCCTACAAGCCTGTTTTCTCATCCCTTGATACAATACTAAAGTGAATAATCAATAATCTGCACCCCTTTCATGACACTCAAAATCAGCTTCTGTAAGAAGACCTGCCTAATGGTAGGGCCAGCCCTGCTTTCCTGTACAGAGTTTAATAGGAGGAACGTGGTGCAGATTGACAGCCAAGGAAAGTTGCATTTCCAAGGGAACAAAGTGTCAGACATGGGGAAAACTGGGAAAATCATAGAATTGTAGAGTTGGAAGGGACCCTGAGGATCATTTAGTCCAACACCCTGCAAAGCAGGAATATGCAGCTGTCCCATACAGGGATTAAACCTGCAACCTTGATGTTATCAGCACCACATTCTAACCAACTGAGCTATCCAGGCACAAATGGTGATGAAAAGCAAAATCTAGCTTGCCCGCTCAGACCATCTCCCCACATCTTTATGCAGAGACAATGCTAGAATTCCTGCTCCGTGGTTGCAGCCATGGGATTGTTGTCTGTCACATGACGGTGTATGTTTTGTTGTCTGTCACATGACGGTGTATGTTTTGACTCCACAGAGTGGGAAGTGATGGAGACAGGATGTTTGTGTTACTGTGTTCCGTGAAGTAGGGCTATTGTCCTTTGTTTTCTCTCTCTTTGCTGTCTGATGCTCGAGAGAGAGGGCGCCATATTGCAGTGCTCCGTGTGTTTATATGTAAATAAAGTAGATTAGCCAAAATGCTGAGTTGCTGAGGTTCTGTTACACAAGTTGCGCAAAATCTGCGGATCCCTAAGTGTGTCTGTTGGCATCGGATGCTGTGTTGTTCAGGCTGAAGAAAGCTTTTGAAGCTCTCGAATGATCGACCAGGAGGGAGAGAACATGCCAGTCGGGCATGTGTCTCTGCCAGGGTCCTACTCGAGTGTAGGCCGAGCTCCTGACAAACCCTTTTGCAAACAGGCATCTTTGGATCAACTGTGCTGATTGTTAACACCTGTGAACTGGGAAATTAAGGGGCAATTCACACTCATGCTCTATAGTGCTGACAGGGGCAATTCATATGTCTTGCCATGTTCTGTGGTGGTGATAACAAAGCAACTTATTTGATGTGGGAGTTCAGGTTCAGCATGCATGGTGAGATGAGGAATCTCCACCTCCAGCTACATTTTAGCTGTTGTTCTTTTTCCTTTCCTGGCAGGTTGCCATGTCAACATTTGTCAGAGAAATAGCCTCTGCTTTATGCCAAAAAAGAGAGAGCATAGTGCTAGACCAAGAGACACTGAGCAGAACATTGATCCCTGATTTGTTCTAGGGACAGGAACTTGAACACTACTAATATCCCCATCCAGTGAAATACTGGAACAATAAGCGCAGGAAACAGATGCTTGCTTTGTGATATTTGCGAGTGCAGAAAGTGCAAGATCAGCTCTTGCCGGACTCTGGCCCGATTGATCTCAATAACTGCTCTGGAGAAAAGGAGGACAGTGCAAGGAGTCCTGCGTGCCAGAATGAAGGAGTGTTATTGCCCAGCTGTTGTTTCCCCACATCTTATAAGGAGCCACAACGCTGCTTTTAAGGTTAGGTCAGCATCTCCAGTTTTCCTGCCGCTGCACTGATTGGATGGCTCTGCATTCGCATTCCCCTGGCATCATCGCTGGTGCTGTAAGTGGGCACGGTTCCTTGCAGAGGCCGTGGCGAGAAGTTCCTGCCTATATGGTTTAGCCCCCCAGCTCAGCCGTCTTTAATGGAAGGCAAGGTTCCCGAGCAGATTAACACCTTGTCGGGCATTACGGAGTCTGTGGCAGACTTTCGCACTAATGACTGCAGCCGCTTTGTGCTGGTGATGCTAATCCTCAGCTGGCTGGCCTGCTACTTTTCAGCCAGGGTTTCCTGCACATGTTAATCCCTCCCTTTGCTTATGAAGCAAGAGGTTTAGGCTGAAAAGAGAGGGGCCCATTCTTTGATGCAAATCGGGGCATAGCGATGGCTGCCAGCGAAAAGTCTGGCTCTGCAGGTGCGTCTGTTCCAGCAGTGGAAAGGGAAGCAGCAGAATCGGTTCTCTGGTTCTCTTAAGGATGAGAAAAGGCAAATGTATTCCATAGGGTTGCTGCCTCCCCATCCCGATGTGACTCCTGTGCCTTTGGCAGCTGCGGCGCAGACAGGAATACAACAGGCAAAGCTTTTCGAAGCATGGGGGTAAATTGATGGGGGAAAGGTGTTAAACTCTGGCTTTCCGCCTGTCACACAGCTGGTAAAGGCAGAGGAGTCTCATTTGAAAAGGTGGCAACCTGATTTTGAAATCCTCAGGGCTGGGCCACCCATAGCCACAAATTAGAAACCAGTGAATACTGTTATTACCAAGGCAAAGTTCTAGCCTGATCTAGAAGCTGCCACAATTCTTCCAGCTCAGAGAAGTCAAATGTCTGGCCAGGCGCAATTCAACAACTGTAGTCTCTGCACTTAATTGCCTTACATCTCAATGTAGTGAGCTAGCCCTACTGTGTTTAGAGACCCTCCTCATTCTGCTAAATATGATCCTGGATGTTTGTCCTAAAGACATGTCCCGAGCATGGATAGCTCAGTTGGTTAGAATGTGGTGCTGATAACACCAAGGTTGCAGGTTTGATCCCTGTATGGGACAGCTGCATATTCCTGCCTTGCAGGGGGTGGACTAGATGACCCTCAGGGTCCCTTCCAATTCTGTGATGCCAGAACTCGCAGGAAAAGGAGGCAACGATGGCAGCAAGAGTGCTTCGCTGCAAGCAGCTCAAAGTGAGCAACTTGCTCAGCAAACGCTGGGAGCAGAATGAGGTTATTTCAACCCCCGAGGGAAACGTCAGTCTGTAGAACATGAGACTCTTAATCTCAGGGCTATGAAACATGTGCTGCCATATTTCAAAAAGTAAAACCCAAATTGTTGAGCTTTCTTGGGGAAACCTGACATATGGCAAGCCTATTCAAGCCCCACATTGGGCAAAAGATTCCGGCATTACAGAAGGATGGACTCGATGATCCTCACAGTCCCTTCTAATTCTATGATTCTATGACAATAAGGTAAAGGGACCCCTGACAATTAAGTCCAGTCACAAACGACTCTGGGGTTGGGGCGCTCATCTCGCTTTACAGGCTGAGGGAGGCAGTGTTTGTCCGCGTCCGCAGACAGTTTTTCCAGGTCATGTGACCAGCATGACTAAGCCACTTCTGGCGGACCTGAGCATCGCACGGAAACACCATTTACCTTCCCGCCGGAGAGGTACCTATTTATCTACTTGGGCTGGTGTGCTTTCAAACTGCTAGGTGGGCAGGAGCTGGGACTGAGCAACGGGAGCTCACCCCATCGCGGGGATTCTTAAAAAAAAACCCACATACTTTCTGCAGTTAGGAAAGTGATGGGGAAATGCACAATGAACAGATTGGTTAAAGGGAAGGCATGTAAACGCTGCGCAAGCAAATTGGGGCAAATGCTCACTGTCATATAATATCCCTACGCATAAATCAGAACAGCTGGTCTATAAAGAACACACATGGCCTAACCTCCATATAAGCTTTATGTGAGCAAATAAGGAAGACTGCTGAGAAAACTGGTGATCTGGAGGAGCGCTGTATATATCATTCTGCATTTCCCTTTGGATTTGTCACTAGATGGAGCCAGAGTAGGGAAAAACAGAGGACTGGGACCCTGTTCTACAGTTCTGTTTTCCTTCCCTGCCGCCTCCCACCTGCCTGGATTTCTTCCGCCACCACCCTCATAAAAAAACCCACAGCATGAACCTTTGGCTTCTTTATGAAAAGCCTGGCAAAATAACCCACTTCAGGAAACCACACTATTTTATTTTAACCCAGATACAGTGGTACCTCTGGTTACAGACGCTTCAGGTTACAGACTCCGCTAACCCAGAAATAGTACCTCAGGTTAAGAATTTTGCTTCAGGATAAGAACAGAAATCGCGCAATGGCAGTGGGAGGCCCCATTAGCTAAAGTGGTGCTTCAGGTTAAGAACAGTTTCAGGTTAAGAACGGACCTCCAGAACGAATTAAGTTCTTAACCCGAGGTACCACTGTATAAGAGGTTGGGAAATGGCAGCCTCTGAGCTGAAACCAGCCCACTGAGGAATGCCATTGGATTAGGGCCTTGTTGGATCATGCCAGGAGCCCCTTGAGTCTGGCACTCTGCTCTTACAGTGGCCAAAAAGATGCCCACCAGCAGAACCTGTTTGCCTCCCTACCTGCGATTCCCAGGTAAGCGCCCAACCCTCAGCTCATTCTTCTCATCCAAGCACCTTCAAACAACCCAGAGCTACAATCCTCAGAGCCCTTTAACAGATAATCCTTCTTCCCAGGGAACTATGGAGATGCAAAGAGGTTGAGGGAACGTTCTTTCATATGCGGCGGACTTGTAAAAGGGTAAGAGTATTGGGAAATGATCCACAATGAATTGGGGAAAAAAATGTTTAAAAGTACTTTCCCCCCAAAACCAGAGTCCTTTCTGTTGGGGATAATTCACACAGAAATTCCCAGGTGTCAGAAAAGGTTTATGTATGCAACAACTGCAGCCCGTGTTTCGTTAGCCCAAAAATGGAAAATGAGCAAGGTCCCAAGCAAAGAAGAGTGGCAACTGAAGTTGACAGAATATGTGCAGCTTGCAGACTTAACATATAGAATAATAAGAAGAAGAAGAACAACAACATACGTTTAGAGAAGATTGGAAAACGTTTACTGAATATGTGGGAAATAACTCTGTACAGCTGAAAACGCTGGCAGCATCAAGATAAATTCAACAGTGTAAATAAGTTATGATGGATGTAATAATGGAATACTGAATGGTATAGTTTTTGTAAAATATGCAAGGATTTATGATATGTAAAATGAAACATAGAAAGAGAAGAAGGGAAGTCATTGATATTTTAAGGATGTAAAAATGAGTATTTAAAATAGTAAAACAGAAAATTTAATAAAAATTATATAAAAAAAAAGAGAGAGAATTGTAGCTCGATGAGAATAGGGATTTCTTAACAAGTCGCAGCACCCTTAACAAACCAAAGTTCCCAAGATTCTTTGGGGGAAACCACGGCTGTTAAAGTGGAATAATACGGCTTTAAATGTAAGGTGCAGATATGGCCTGTCGTTGGACTCCAACTCCCATCAGCCCCAGGTGGCCTGGCCAGTGGTCAGGGATGATAGGAGCTGGAGTGCAACAACTTCTGAAGACCCACAGGTTCCTCATCCCTGAGCTGTGTGGTAAGGTAAAGGTAAAGGGATCCCTGACCATTAGGTCCAGTTGTGGACGACTCTGGGGTTGCGGCACTCAGCTCGCTTTATTGGCCGAGGGAGCCGGCGTACAGCTTCCGGGTCATGTGGCCAGCATGACTAAGCTGCTTCTGGCAAACCAGAGCAGCGCACGGAAATGTCGTTTACCTTCCCGCCGGAGCGGTACCTATTTATCTACTTGCACTCTGATGTGCTTTCAAACTGCTAGGCTGGCAGGAGCAGGGACCGAACAATGGAAGCTCACCCCCTCGCGGGGATTCGAACCGCCGACCTTCTGATCGGCAAGTCCTAGGCTCTGTGGTTTAACCCACAGTGTCACCCGCGTCCCGAGCTGTGTGGTATGAAGCACTAATTTCTATGTATGCCTGAGAACACTGTGTACTTTACATTGGTCAAGGAGGCTGGTCCCTCTGTAAGAAAATAAAGACAAACAGATCAGACATTTCAGACAGAAACATGGAGAACTGAAGCAATGGAGCATTTCCATCTCCCTGGACACTCCATCTCTGACCTTAGGGTTGTGAGACTTAAAACAGACCTACTTGACAAATTACAGCAGGAGGCTGCAGAATTAACACATTTAATTAAGTCTCCCAGGGCCTGGACGAGAACTATATGTGATTCTCTCAAAAGGGAAGGAAGCAAGGGGAGCTGACTCTTGGGCTTGGCTGCCATGCAAATAGGCTGCAACTTTTATTAAACTTAGGAAGAGCTGGGCGACTTAAAAAAGCAGGGAGCCTGAGGAATGGTAGAGCCTTTCCCCTTTTGACATCCTGTGGGCAGAACAGAAGGGATAGTTTCCTCTCGGGAACTAGCCTTGTCTGGCAGCAGTTAGGTTGGCCTGGCACTCTTTTGTTTCCCACAATGCCCTCCATGTGCTGCTCTGGGGCATTGTGGGAAATTTAAAATGGTGGTTTGCTTGCGCAGCTGCAACACATGGGACGGGGGCTGAATCAATATTCAAAAGCAGGTTAGGTTAGGAGATAGTCCAGGGGTCAGCAAACTTACCACGCTTCAGGCCGGTGTCTCCAGCGCCGACTGCGTGGCAGGCTGGAGGGCATGTGCCCATACGCATGTGCACACGCTATTTCTGGCGCACTTCCGCATCAGAGGAGCACTGGAAATAGCTTGTGCGCATGTGCACGGGCCTCCTCCGCCCCGGAAATAACGCATGTGCACAAGCCATTTCCGGTGCTCCTCCGATCCGGAAGTGGGCAGCTGCGCAGCGCCGGTAAGAGTGGGCAGCGGCAGCGGGCATCGCCGCAGGCTGGATATAGTTTGGGGACCCCTGAGATAGTGGCTGCCCAAGTCACCCGGTGAGTTTCCTGAGTACAGATGTGAGCCTGGATCTTACCTAGTCTAGTCCAATGCTCCATGGATTACAAATGTTGTTCCCTCTGGATGCTGTTGGACTGTAACTCCCATCATTCCTGAGTCCTGGCCACATTGGTGGGGTGCTGATGGGCACTGGAGTCCAACATCCAGAGGGTACCATATTAGCTTCTCCTGAAATGACCACAATATGGGCCATCCTATTGCCTATTGATTTACGTACCCAGTTTTGAAACCATCTAAGCTAGTAGTTGTTAATGACACCCTGCAATAGTAAATTCTGTACGCTACTTGATCGCCTGCCGAATTAGGCATGTTTAAATATATTGGGTGGTATCCAGAGTTAGTCATATTCAGAGTGGGTCCACTGAAATCAATGGGCATTGCTTGCTTTGGTTCATTGATTTCAATGGGTGAACTCTGAGCAGAGCTTAGTTGGATACAAACCATGGATTTAAATTAACTTAAATTGCACTTGCCTTGGTACTGAATTAATACTAATGTACTTTTATTAATATGGGTTATTTGCTGCTTTCCCCCCCATTTAGGAGCCAAGCTCATACTTTTCAGCCTCTTCTCTGCAGAAATGAAATCTTAGCCTTATTACTTTATCATCGTGAGGATTGTGATTTCTGCCTATAAGATTCCCCTGCTTCCTGCAAAAGATGAAATCAAGAGAACTGGCAACTTTGTATTTTGCAATTTCTTGCCACCTCCCCAGCTTTTTACGGGTTTCCAAATGGGCTGTTGCCAATTAATATGTGATATGGAAACACTGGCAATCTATTTCAGGAAGCTCTCCCTGCTATTTGCTGGGTTTTAAAGTATTCCTTAGCTGGCCAATTACTTTTCTACTTATTTCTCTTGTTAAAAATGAGGTTCAGCTATTTTAGAATTATTCTAAAGTGTATTAAAAAAATAAAAATCCACTCCCGGGGCAAGCACCTTTAATGAAGTTAGAAAATGTATCTACACTCTTGTTAGAAAGAGCCCTTTGCCATCTCACATAGCTCTTTCGTTAGGAGAAAAAGGGGGCTGTTCTCCCATTTCAAGTTTAATTTTTTAGGCCAAATGAAAATTATTCTGCAGCTAGTGCCAGAAAAAATGGGAGATCTTAGTCCAAGGAAAATTAGAATGGCCTGAGGAAGGTGGTGGAGCAAGAACTAAGACGGTAAGTTGAAGCAATGAGTCTGTTTAATATCCAGAAGTTATAGAACTACTAGCCTCAAGAGTGTGTGTGTGTGTGTGTGTGTGTGTGTGTAAAGGATAAGGACCCTACTATGGTTCGCCAGTTCCAAATCTGGGTTACGTGCATTCCACAACACACTTCTGCAATTGCACAAGGCAAATATAAAATATGATACTAGGTGCAGAATTGTGGTCCTGGAAGCCTGGTTTCAATTTTGTTTCTTTCCCATCAACTGCTGTCTGAATTTCTATCTGTACTGGAGATGCCAGAGTTTGAACACAGGACCATCTGCCATCTGATCAATTTCATTAACAAAGCTTGATTGTAAAAATCTTCAAACCAGTTTATACAAAGAATAAACTACAGTATTTTTTGCACCATAACACTCACTTTTTTCCTCCTAGAAAGTAAGGGGAAATGTCTGTGCGTGTTATGGAGGGAATGCCTAAGGATGGCAGGGGGATCTGCTGCAGTCATGAGCAAAGGATCCATGGTTCCCCTTCCTTCCCTCCTCCGTGGCTCGCTTTGAAACAGCAAAGCGGGAGAAGAGCCGCTGAGTGGGGAGGAGAGAGGGACAGAGAGCCTGCTTGCTTTAAAGGAGCAAAGCGGGAGAGGAGAGGAGCAGCTTACACGAGTGTAAGCAGCTCCTGTCTGGTTGGTTCCTTTAAAGCAAGCAGGCTCTCTGTCCCTCTCTCCTCCCCACTCAGCTCGCTAAATAGCAGCAAAGTTTTTCAGCTCGCTAAGCCGGGGATGAGCGGGGAGGAGGGAGAAAAGCAGAGCCTGCTTGCTTTAAAGGAGCAAAGTGGGAGAGGAGAGGAGCCTTCTCCCCTTATACCCCTCTTCTTCATTATTAGCAGCATCCTTCTCCACCCACCCCACGCATGCTTCTTCTCCCCTTAAACCCCTCTTCTGCATTATTAGCAGCATCCTTCTCCTTGTCCCTTGAGTGCTTTTCCTTCCCTCCCCACTTAAAACGTGGTTACAAAGCACGGATCCACATGGATCCTCAGGAATTTTGCACTGGGTCACCCCAAATTCACCATCAGATCACATAACATGTCCATGGCTACATCTTGCACCAAAAAAATCACGCACCCACTGTTGCCTGGGGCCGCAGTGGTGCAAAAACGTGGTTACAAAGCATGGATCCACATGGATCCTCAGGATTTTTGCATTGGGCTACTCCAAACTCACCGTCAGATCACATGTCTGTGGCCACAGCATGAACCACAAAAATCATACATCCACTGTTTCGTTTAGAATATGTTTTTTCTTGTTTTCCTCCTCTAAAAACTACATGCGTGTTATGGTCGGGTGCGTGTTATAGAGCGAAAAATACAGTAATAAAACTATTGACACAAACCTTTTTTTAAAAACAACAACAACAATATTTAAAACATTTTTTAAAAAATTGATAGATTAAAAACAGATTAAAACACATGTCAGTATTCTACATATCTGGGCAGGCTTGCCTGAACAAAAATGCATTAAGCGGGCACCGAAAAGAGAGTGACGGTACTTGCCTGATGTCAATAGGCAGGGAGTTCCACAGGGGCTGGCACACTAAAAGATCAATTTCATACAAATGCAAACCAAATATCATGTGGTACCTCTAACACAGCCAGTTCCACAGAGCGAAGTTGTCATGAGGGTATATGTTAATATCAGAACCAGAGCTTTTTTCTGGGGGGACGCATACCCCTAAACATTTTTGTGAATCTTTGTACTTTTGTCCATTTACTGTATTTATTTTTCCCAATTTGAACTATAAAATGAGTCAAAATGAGAGTACCCATACACATTTTTTTTTGGGGGGGGGGGAAGCACTGGTCAGAACCAGCCATCTATTTGGCAAAGGAGATCTTTGCAAACCGCTTGGCATCCAAGGATATATAGATCAGAGAACCACCACTTAAGAACAGAGAGAATTTATACACAAAATATGATTTGGCACCCTAAGCAGTCCTGGGCATGGATTCTAATTGTAATCCCCATCATGTGTGGGATTTTTAAAAGATGCAAGTAATAAAGAGTAATATAATTATGTGACCCATGAAATCAATTTGAAACTCCGGACTTTGTGTGAGCATAAACAAGATCTCCAACTCATCCATTCATACATTACGTTTTCCCCTTTCTGTGTGTGCAGGCAGATGTGAAATGACTCCCAGCTCAGGTTTTTGTTTTTTTAAATGCACCATGAGGTTCAGCCCCAAGAGAGGCATTAAATCATATATGGGCTTCTCTGTACTTTTTTTTTTAAGGGGTGGACAACAATAATTTGGTGACTAAGAAAAATGATCTGTTTCCTTTTTGTCCTCCTGGAACAACTCAGCCCAGCCACTTCTCAGAGGGACTCATTAGCATCTCTCACCTGTGTCAGGAAGGAGGGGGGAGACAATAAATAAGCCCTTGGGGATCCATTAAATTAAAACCACTAAATACAGAAGTTACCACAAAGAAATACACAGGCATAGTTTCTTTGACTACAGCATAGAGGGAAACAGAAACTGGTTAAAAGTCAAATCGGAAATTAATGTGAAAAAATGTCTCTTTATTTAATAAGTTGTCCTAGCTAAAGAGCAGCTACTAATACTATAGTTGACATGGACCAGAATCAATACAACCAACCTATACTCCTTTGCAAACAGAAGGGGTTCTCAAGGGTTTGGCATACACTGGTTGCAGTACATAGTGAACCAAAACCATGAAGAGGCACCCAACGAAAACCACACAGAGAAGGGACAGCAGGACGAAGCGGCCGATAAAGAAGGTGTCGACAATCTGAGAAGACAAATTGCACAAGTGACAGCTGAGCATATCAATGACAGAAGACTTACTTGTTTTTCTTCTCCTTTGAATAATAATAATAATAATAATAATAATTTATTTATACCCCACCCATCTGGCTGGGTTTCCCACTCTGAGCGGCTCCCAACAGAATATTAAAAATAGAATCAAACATTAAAAACTTCCCTAAACAGGGCTGTCTTCAGATGTCTTCTAAAAGTCAGACAGTTGCTTATTTCCAACTCTATAATTCTAAGATAATATGGCTGGCTGGAGATCAGATCAAGGCCAGCAGGCTGAAGTTGTTGCTGTATGAAGGCAGTAAAGGGTTGCATTAAAGGCACACAAGGCCCAATTTGAAAAATGATGCATAGATGTGCAATTAGATGGTTCCATATCATCATCATCATCATCATCATCATTTATTTACACCCCACCCATCTGGCTGGTTTTCCCCAGCCACTCTGGACAACAGAATATTAAAAACATGATAAAACGTCAAGCATTAAAAACTTCCCTTCAGGGCTGCCTTCAGATGTCTTCTAAAACTCAGATAGTTGTTTATTTCCTTGACATCTGATGGTAGGGTGTTCCACAGGGCGGGCGCCACTACTGAGAAGGCCCTCTTAAATAAATAAAAGGTGTGTTCACAGATTAATAAAAGCAAGTCAAATCTCCTGCGCTCAGGGTTACCATCTAAAAAAACACGACACAAAAGGAAAGTGTATTTGGAGCACGGAAAGCAAACTCGGGAAATAATTATTTGTTACAAAGCTCTTACACTGAGCAGCTGGAATGGAAAACAGTTCAACGAGAGGAGCCAAGCATTGAGGGTCTCTCAGCAGCGCCAATGAAGTGTCCCTGCACACTTCTTTCCCTGCCTGCCACACAGCCACTGCCAGATGGAATGGCTGCTGCATCTCATCCCTTGCTCCCTCTGCCTGGGTGAGCAAACACTGCAGAAAGACTTGAACATCAACCTTTTTGTGCGCCAAGCTCACTGACAGAGGCTCTCCACTAGGAGGCCTTATTGTGAGAGGCAAAGCAGGAAACCGAGGAAAGGGTTTCTTCATTGGTGATGGAATGTTTCTGCTCATGGAACTCTCTCCCTAAGAAGGCTTGCTTGGCTGCTAATCTGGTATCTTTTCAGGGCCATACAAAGACCCATCTTTTAAAGTCCTACACTAGTGGACAAAATTGTGGAAACGTTTTGGGGAAAGTGTATTTCTGAGATTTGATGACTGGCTCTCTAACACTCATGCTCATTGGCTACATTCAAACGAAGGAAAGGTACTGCATATCAACCTAAGCAAGTTGTGCTTCCTTTTTCTGGTAATTTGGCTATAACTTTTGATAGAATACAGATAATTGAACAAACTTTGTTGTATTACATTCTTCATTAAATTATCTTTCCAGTGATATATAATTTTATGGTATTACTCCAAAACAAAGTGGTGTTATAAGCCATCAAACCTCAGAAACACACTTTTTCCAAAAGGTTTCCACAATTTTGGCCATCATTGTACGTATATTTTAAGTACTGCTCTGTTGGCTGTTTTACAGTCAATTTGAATTTTCCTGTCTTGCATTGATTTCATTGTTGATTGTATTTCATTATGAGCTATCCTGAGAGCCATATGCTAAAACTGCAACAACCAAAAGCCAAATATTGCAATGTCTCGCCAACTTCAAGAAGGAGACGATAGGTGAAATTCAACGTCTCAGGATAAAAAAATCAAGAAAGAGTTAAAGAGAGACTACAGCAACAAAAAGAATCAACAGCATATACTGTAGCTTTGGCCTCCGGTCAGAGGACTTATCCCACCAAATTCAACAAATTGTATTTCGTATCAAATATATTCTCACGCAAGAGTGACTTCAATTCTTGTTTACAGTAAAAAAAAAGCTGCTGGAATGAATAAATGCACAAATTAAAAGTCTCTGAGTTTTCCTTCCATGCTCATTAAGGCTTGAATTATTTGCAAGAAGCCATGGGTCCGGCTGGCTTGTGCTCTGCCTGCCCCACGGTTGCCCCCCTGCCCTTGCAGTGAAAACTGAAGTTAAAGCAGTCAGTTTGCCCTACAAATATAAGCAGAGATGCATGCTAGGGCAAGAGAGGAGGAGTGAGGTTAAAGCTGCCGTATAAGAACCCCTGAACAGCCTGGGAAAAAAAATATAATAAAAAGAAGAGTTTGGTAGTGAGGCACCTCACCCCATCAGTAAGAGACGGGTTCCCACACCCTCTTCCCAGCTCCTGGGACTGCTCTACACTCTGCTTACAGCAAAGGTGAGTTTCATGAAACAGCATTAACACAAGTTTGACCTCGGCTCCGCTACAGAACAAGTCTCCTGTGGGTGACATGTTTGCTCGCTCAACACACTGCACTTTTTAATTAGCCAATTAGCAGGCTTTGGGTGCCGAAAGCTCAGGGCATGTATTATTGATACCATATTGTGCTGGGCTGCTGCCGAGGTGAGTCCTAGAGATCCTAGGAATGGACTCTTTTGCGGTGCAGGAGTGACTCTCAAAGACAGACTGCACTGCTAAGTCCAGCTTCCACAGCTTCTCCTGATCCTGCTGTGATTCCATAGAGGAAAAGAACAATATGGAGGGTAGAGAGTGGTAGCTGAAATATGGCCAGGACTGAAATTTCAGATATACAGGGACAGATTTGCTTTGACACCAGGCTTAACCTAGTAATGGGTTCCAAAACAGAAGGAATACCGTACTGGCCTGAATACAAGCCTCACTTTTTCCCCAAACTCTGACCATGAAAAGTTGAAGTGAGGCTTAAATTTGCAACCTTACAAAAACGGGCTTTTACGATATCGCTGCTGAAACAGACATACAGTAAAATGGAACGGGTGTGAGTGCCTGCAGAATTTTAAGGGAGCGGCTTATATTCGGGTGTGGCTTATATTCAGGCCAATACGGTACTACTTTGCAAGACTCTACACTCAGAGCAGACGACTGGCCCTTGCTGACACCTGCTAGGTATCAATATTTCCATGAAACAGGGCATTAGCTGAATGCCTGAACAGGGCATTAGCTGCTCCGCTTCTTAGGCCATGCAGCCTTCTTTGCTGGATCCACTGCTCTTTCTTCATTGCTTCTCCTTGGCTTTTTGCACCACCTCCATCACCAAGGCCAGAACATACTTGTGATATCACTTGTTGCCAGCTCCATATGTACAGCAGACTCCTCTTCATTTCCAACAAAGACTTGTTACCTGCTGAACTCTACTGCTGCAGCCCCCCTTGGCTCCTAGAGGTCTCAAACCCATGGCACCTTTCCCAGCTCTTAAGAAGCTAGGATGTCTCATATTGAACCAGTCTCCAACAGGCACTTCTTGGTGCCTTACTTAGCTCCTATGCCACCAGCAGTCTGGTCCTTCAGGACACAAGGCAGATCTGCCTTTGTGGATAAAGGGTGCCCTGAGCATCTTGTAGCCACACAAGAACTTGGTGCAGTTCTGCCATTATTAATTATTACTGCAAGAAGCAAAGTTACAGGGAACCAGGCAGAGGGCCTTCTCAGCAGTGGCGCCCTCCCTGTGGAATGCCCTCCCTTGAGATGTCAAGGAGATAAAGAACTACACAACTTTTAGAAGACATCTGAGGTTTTTAACGCTTGGTGTTTTTATTAAGTTTTTAGATATGCTGTGAGCTGCCCAGAGTGGTTGGGGGAACCCAGCCAGATGGGCAAGGTATAAAATCATCATCATCTTCATCAGTGTTAAGCAAAAGTGCATGTACAGGACTGCAAACCAGCATAGGTAGTGGCTTGCTGGTTCAGACCAGGAGACACCGAGGTCAGCATTCTTTGCAGGAATTCCAAGCAACCAAGTGGACCTACCAGGCACTGTTCAGTGGTCCAAAAAGTGGGCACTGGTCTACCTTCTGCCTACCCTTGAGTGAGAAAATAGCAATTCAACTATCTCTAGTTGCTCTCTGGAATGGAGTGGGGAGGAGGGAAAACTTTGCTGTGTGTATATGAGGAAGCTGTGCAACACTCACTCTGTCTTCCTTTCTTTTGCAAATATCACGCGGCATGCATCCAAGAGCACATCAGGGGGTGGGGGAGCGCAATCAAGGCAAAGTCTGGATTTGTCACATTTAGTACCTAGCATAAATCTCCTTGCAGCTAAGGAGATGGGAGAAGTTGTATTCTGTCCTTGTCCTAGAAGCACAGACACTACTTAACAGGTGTCCATGACACTCTTGCTGTGGCAGAGTGGCACATTACATTACATGCTCTGCATGCAGAAAGCCCCAAGCTGAATCTCAGGCATCTCCAGGTCAGACCATCTGGAACCCTGGGGAGCCACTGCCAGTCCATGTTGACAGTAACTCGCTTGACGGACCAGCGGTCTGACTCAGTACAGGGCAAATCCCTATTTTCCCATGTAATCACATTCTGGGCAGCACTCCAAATTGCAGTGACCCAGTTGGCAAGGGAAAATGCAATTCTGCACCCAACAGACGCTTTGGGGTCCGAGAAATGATGCTTTAATTCTTTGTAACAAGGGCGCATGTGCTATAAACTGAAATTGCAGACAATAAAGTTCTTCAGAAGAAGAAAAAAAGATACAGCTGTCCTAAGTAAGTCTAGGTGATTTCCCCTGCTGTTGGAGTGTGGCGGCAGTGGGGCCTTGTAGAGGAATGCAGTCAGGAAGGAGCCTTTGAGCCAGAGAGCTCAAAACATTCCCAGTGTCTCTAGGAGATGAAGACAGGAGAAGGACTATGTAATGAATGTGGAGTTTAAATAATTAGGACCAGGAAACCTTTGGGAAGAGGGAGAATTTCCTCCGAAGCTGATCCATGAGGGAGCCAAACTGCTGGTAATGGAAATTCAGACCGGGGGTGGGGGGGAGGTTGTTAATCTTGCAGCAGGGGAAAGCCTTGAGAAGGAACATTTGATTATCGGTGAAATCTGCTGGAGGCAGCAGCTGTGCTAGTGAAAGTGGGGGTTTGGGGGGAAAGCGGGTAGGATTACAGTTGCCTCTGGAGAAAGGGCACCCGGAGGTGGGATAAGCACTCTAATAGCAGCCAAGTGTCAGCACCAAGATAATTAAAAAAGAGCTTCCAGGATCAAAGATGATGTGATCATCACAATTAAAATCCGCATCTTCATTGCCAACCATTTATACAGCGGTCTTCTTAACAGACTGTCAGTCTGTTAAATCAAAAGATTTAACTCTGAAGCAACAAAAAACTCCACTGTGAATAACTTTTCTCTTTCTCTTTAAATTTAGGGCAATGTAGAGAAATGGGTTGAGGGTTCAAGGCTTCTGAAAAAGAGGACATGGAGAAGAATCTAGTAACTCTTTGGATCAAATAGTTTGGCCTTCTGCTTGTAGCATGTAGCAGCACAGATTTATGCATCTCACTGCAGCATTTATCGTTCCACCTTCCAGGCTACAAATCCTTGCAAAGTGACTTACAAGTAACAAAGATTTATACCCTGCTTTTCCCTTTCAATAGAGGTGCTTGAAGGGCTTTCCAAAAATGCAAAGACAGGCACAAATTTAACAACAATCCATCATTAAAACATAATTGCCAGGCTGAAATTAACATCAAAGACCTAGCAGACAAAGAGCCAGAACTAACCATCAATACATTAAAATTAAGCAACAACAGAAATCAAAACCGTCTTGTTGTTACAGGTGGAACAAAAATAGAAGGGGAAAGTAACTTCTTGGGCAGGGGATCACCCCAAGTACGCTCCACTGGATGCTGGAGACTGTTGGAGGGAAACAGGTAGGACGCAGTAATATCAGAGCACGATAATCAGGCAGAAGAGGTAGGAATAACAAGGAATGTGGCATTGGTGACCATGGGGTCACAGTGGAAAGCTTTCAACCTATGCAGGTTTCTTAGTCAGAACATAGGTATTAAGCCAATTTCAGTTAAGAGCAAAGGCAACCATTAATGGAAGCTTGCATAAGATTTGGTAGGTAGAGAAGTAGTAGCACTAATCCACACATACATGCCCCTAGCTATGTTGATGCAGGATGCCTTTGAATACCAGCTGCTGGGAATCACAAGCTGGGAGGGTTCTGTTGTGTTCGTGTCTTCCTTGTGGGCTACCCAAAGGCACCTGGCTGAGTGCTGGGCTAGGTGAGTCTTTGGCCTGACCCAGCAGGGCTCTTTTTATCTTATGGCGAGGACAACTGGCTTAAATGGCTTTTAAGAGAGGATGAAACAAATCTACATAGGACACATCCATTGATTTAGCCATGATGACTAAATGAAACACCTGTGTTCAGAGGCCATGTGCCACTGATTACCATTTGGGGTGGGGGGGAAAGAGTAGGGAGGGCTATTGTCTTTATGCTCTGCTTCTGGGCTTTCCAGAGCCACTGTGGGGAACAGGACATTGGATTAGATGGACCTTTGCTCTAATCTTAGAACTTTTCTCTGCAATGAGATGTGGTGGAGCAGGAGTTAAAACAGTTATGCGAGGAGCTGTCAGGAAAACAAGTGGAAAACATAGAGGGAAAGCTGGACCGTGTATAAATGATCAAACCCTTGTTTAATAAGCTGGGATATGCATGAGCTCCTTGCAGTCACATGCAGTCCCTTCCGACAAGCAGGGAAACACACCAGGAAGCCACGGTTAACCATAGTTTCCTGTTACATGCAAACCACAAAAACATGGTCAATGGCTTTCCAAGAAGCCAAGCTACACAGCCATGGTTTAAAACTGGCTTCTGTACAAACTGGGATTTGTAAGCCAAGGTATAGTTTAACTGTGGCTTCTGGGCTTGTTTCCTGCTACATGCAAAGTGTCGGGCTGAATATTCAGCCCAGGAACTCTCAGACAGATCCCTTCCATTTCTCTCCCATGTGTGCACATACTTGATTTCCTAATTTAGGAACTAAAAACAGCTTTTTTTTGTTTTCTCTATTGTTGACTTCCACTAGGAATTGGAAGTCCTTGCTGATCTGCTGCAAGTTACTCAAGAGATCTACCAGTTGATCCTGATCCATCTTCTTCCAACTACTGATGGATATCAGAAAAATGAAAAAGGAGCAGAAAGAGGTACCAGATAGCTTCCACAATATTTTAACAAGCAGTCGCAACCAGAGTTTCCTGCTAATATGCAATAAACCTGGTTACAGGCAAGTATGTCCATGTGATGATGAATGCAAAGCCAGGCATCTTCTATGCACCTTCTAGTGAAGCAACCTATTTCTCTTGCAAATGACCCAGAGTGGAAACAGATTCACTTTGCAAACAGACCTCAGTGTAAAAGCATTTCCCCTCAGGCTGCTATAATGTACCTAATAGGGTGACTTGGGTAAATAATGCAAACATTCCATTCCAGGGTCATCTTCCTAGCTCAAACTCTTTAAAAAAAATAAAGTTCTCCACTCCAATGTCTGAAGACAAAATTAGCTTCAGTCAGATCCCACTTGCCCCCAACAAAGATTCAATCGTGGACTGTCTAGACAAAAAACTCACTCCCTACTTTGGAATTAAGAGTCCTCCGACATCAAGCGGATTGCAGAAACTTAAGGTGCTGCCTTACACCAGATCAATTTGCCCTCCTCTGACTGGTACTCTTCAGGATCTTCGGCAGGGTCCGTTTCATTACCTGCTCATCATCCGAACTGTTTTTACCTAGAGATGCCATGGATTGAACCTAGGTCTGGTCTATGAAACCTTCCCCACCAACTGCTCTCTTCTTTTTGTGCTTCACAGCAAGGAAGGAACTCCTTTTCTCCATGGGCAGATGGCAGCATTCCTATGCTGCATGAAGAGAAAGGAATCGCTCTCTTTCCTTGCAAGCAGACTGTTTTGCTTCTATGCTACACACTGAGAAATGGAATCCCTTTCTCAGCGCGTAGCAAAGAAATGCTCTCCTGCTCTTTCTCCCTCATTCCAGCACCTAGGCCTTGCTTTTTGTGGTTCTGCGTGCACTAAAGGTGTGGGATTGTACAAACTCTTGGCTCTTGCCCTGCCAAGTTCTGGAAAGTCATTGACAGCTTCCCATTGGGGTAATGCAGTTCTTGGCTTGAATAAGGATCCAAAACCCATTTCTGCATGTGCTTTACTACTAAGCTACCATTCTTCCCTACACTGGAGATACCAGCAATTGAACCAGGAACCTTCTGCATGCAAAGGACATGCCCTGCACCTGAACTATAACCCCTCCCACTATCTAGAGATCTTACTCTTTCAGCTGGGTAAAAGGAAGCAGAGTGTAGACGGACAAAAGGAAATGCAAGTAAATGATAACAGTGGCAATGTGGAGGCGAAATGTTCTGATGAGTATTGTAAATTAAGCCATTGATTAATCTCCGGCAACAAACCGCAATGCTTTTTATACAGATTGATTTTTCCTTCTGTGTATCACTATATCACACATAACACCATTGTCTTTTAGAGGTACATTATGAAGCGCACCCACACTGCAATATTTTCTATGAAACATTAGTTGAATGCATTTTGATTGTCCTTCATTTATCTCCATTACACCTAATGGTAATTATGGCTCTTATATTGGCACTGCAACCTCCCTCAATCTCCAGCTAATGGGAGATTGCAATAGGAAGCCATCTTTCTTGTTTGGGAGATGCAAACCCTGAAGAGGCCCGGTTCACATTTCTCTGGCATGTAGGGCCTTAACATAGTGAACTGCTGAAGCAAGGGCACTCCTGCACCCATCTCTAAGGAGGCATCCAAGGCCATGACCATGTGATCCATATGCACCTGACGTACCTTCCTTGTGCCAGGATGTACCAAATAAAAATGTCTGCAGGGGCACACACAAATTTCCATGTATGGACAAAGATGTGCAGTCCGCAGCGTCTGCAAATAAGCCTGCCTGCATGATGGGGGGGCTGGGGGCTGCATGAACCAACATCTGAAATGGTTTTGTTCTTTCCTCTTCCTACCTACCTAATGCCATCAATCAAATGAAGAGATCAAGGGGCTCTCCAGAAGTCTTCATTGTGCATTCATGATGATTTGTATTAATGTATCGGTATGGTTATATGTCATTTTGTTTCCAATACAGTATTCTCCTGGCCTGGGGAGTCAGGTAACGCCGAGGCGATACAAAGGCCTTCAGAAAGGCCTGTATTTGAAAGCAGGGCACTCAAATCGCAACCTTCCTTGTCTTGAAGAGGAAGGCCCCATTTCAGCTAGTGAGAATTCTCAAGTTACAAACACACACACACACACACACACACACACACAGCCACTTTTCAAATGAAAGGGGTTTTGTTTGTTTGTTGGCTTTGGGAATGGGAAGGGTCAAAGGGACAGAGAACCTGCTGCTAAATCAGGCTGTTTGAGAGATGTAATTAAACACTAACCACCACCACCCCACCCTCAAGACTTTCTTTTGTTTTTAATGGTTGACAAGAAAACTGTTTTCACAGGCCCCATCTGTATTGTCTTCTATTTCAGTATTTCACTTTTTTTTACGGTGGGTTTCTTGTTTGTTGGGTGGAGTTGGTTTTTACTAGAGACTGTAAGCTGCTCTGGGAAGAAAGTTCCTGAAAAAGCAAGGCTATATATTTCTGAATGAGTGAATGAATGAATCCTGCTGACCTTGCTCAGTCTGGACAATTAGCTAGTAGGGCATGCCAGCTGGTTCTCTTCACTTCCAAACTTACTGGCTCCCACCTGACCTCTAAACTTGCCTTCAGTCCACTGGCGTTCAAGGTACCTAAAGACACATCATCTGAGGCCCTCCGGTCCCTTTTCTGAGGGATGATTCAGAGCGTGATGAGAAGGGAGAGTCTTTTCAGTCGTGGCTCCTCATCTGTGGAATGCTCTCCCCACTGAGTTCCATCTAGCACCTTCCCTTACATCCTTTCAGTACTAGTGAAAGGCTTCCCATTCCCCACCTTCCTATGGCTCGTGGGGCTGTTTTTGATTACTGAATGAAAACATTTAATGTTTTCTATTATTCCCCCCCTGCTATGGTATAATGCATTTATGTTTATGTATTTAAATGTAAGCTGACTGGAGACCTTCTAGGTAGCATGAGATTAATAAGTCAAATAACTAAATAGGTGCCTGCTCTCAGCCTGAACACCTGACTCCCAAATACCAACCGTGGCCTTAGTCATCTAGCAGCCCTTTCGTGGCAGCATGCTGACTTCCCTTCTCCCTTTCCCAACAATGACTCACTTGACCTGGCGGCATTTGCTTTCCCTTGGGAAATGTTCAATTAGCCAACCGCTTGTACTGATGCAAATTCACTGGGACTATACTTGGTGCTAGAACTTGGCCCTCTTGAAATCTGTGTTGGCTTATAAACAGCACGTATTTGAAACCGTTAGTATGAAATGCTACAGATTTGTGGAGGGCGAGCTTCTCAATAACTTTACCTTAATTTCTGCAGCCGGTGCAGGCAACTCGCTGGCACGAGGGAAAAGCAACAGAACCAACGTGATGATCACAGCAGCTAAGAAAACCACAATGACAGAGAACCTGGGGAGAGAGAGTGGGGAGAAACCACAGGAATCACTGCTAATCCTAGCCACACTTTCTTAGAAGAAAATTTAAATAAAGCTGCATAGAGTTGCTCCATGTCACTACCCGGGCACACACTCCTTTAAATGCCCTAATGGGGCAGAGCAGAAAGCAACCAGGGTAGTTCCCACCGTTTACCTTCCTGGTCATAGAATCCGCTCATTCCCTTGTCTGCTACCAGCAAGCAAGAACCCAGGAATCTAGATGGTGAAAGTGGTGAGAACAGGTAGAAGGGAGCCATGGCTGCCTTTTCTTCCACTGACTCAGAAAATTTAACAGACTATGCCAGGCATCCAGGTGTGAAGACCTGCACAGGATTTGGCTTCCAGTATGCTAGCACCTTCTGCTGTTTGCAAGCACCTCAGCTCCTCCTTGCATCACAGTGGACAAGAGAACCTCCCAGAGCAGCCCCAAATGGACGAATCTGTAGCAAAGAGTGGCATTCAATGCACTCATTTCATTAGTGCAAGGATTTATGTTTGCACAACAGAACTCCACCCCCCTTCCCTCTCCAAATCTGTCTAGAAGATTGAGGGAACCCCAATAACAGATTTTGGATTGGGGCAGGCGGGAAGTCCCATTCCGCACAAGTGTAAATCTTTGCTAATGGAATGAGCAACTTAGTGCTACATTGGATACAGCCCAAAGTGTTTAATGACTGTAACTTTAGGGTGCAATTTTCAAGAATCAATGCAACGACGCCAGTGAAAAGTACGCTATGAATTTACCAGGACTGGATTCTACCTCAGTACACTACAGGAAGGATCCTCAGAAGGATATGGCCAGTTCTGGAAAAAATGTATTCTGCAACCCACATCCTTTTGATGCCAGCTTCCTTTGATTTTTTTTTTAATAGAAAAAGGCTGTGCAATAACTGCCAATATACACCATGTCTTGAGAAGCTAAAAGATGCACTTATTAGATTAAGTAGAGGATTTTTGGCTGCCAATTTTCCTTTGACATTGTTTATTACTTATAGACTTTGCCAAATAAGAGCAACAACAAAATTGACAATAATGTCCACTGCAAAGATAGAATCATAAAATATTGTCTGCATTTTTTTTAAAAAAGGGGGTGGCAGAGACATAAGGTGACAATCATATGGCTGCTGTGAGGGGGGCCATAGGATACAAGATGGTTCCCTCCCTGATATTGGGTCTTCCCAGCTGCTGAAGAAATAGACACCCTAGCCACACCAAAATTTGGGTACCTAGCCAATAGCTGGAGATGAATTAGACAAGCAAAGACTCACTAATTTATCAAATCATAAGTAAGAAAAGAAAGCCAAGTACACAAGCAAAATGATCAGGTAACCCTTCCTCATTAAAAATGCTATGAATATTTGATTTTACAAATGAAACATTATGCAGTAAAAAGGAAGATATTAAATATCCCAAGTCTTCCCTGAGAATAACTGGATAGAACATGGAGAAGTCTTTCATTTTGTTTTGGTGGTGGCAGGGGATTTAATGAGTCTATTATACTTTTCAAATAATTTCACAATCCACATTTTGAATACTTGGGGTTTTGTTTTTTAAAGGCTGCTCTCCAATTAAATAAATCTTGGCTGGTTAATTATACAAGTTTCAGCGGATTAATTGATTAAATAAAACTTGCAACTTCAGGAAAACAATAGTTCTGAAGGAAAAAAGGATGCTCCTGTTTTACATGACATCATAACGGGCATCACCCTAGAAAAGGCATTCACTCCTCTGTAAGAAAGATAAGGAAAGTTTCTTCTAAGCTGGTACTTGCTATCTGCAGTTTCCATTAGCACCTGCATTTTTAAAAGATTAGCTGTGACGAATTGGTGCACCTTTTCAGTTGATCAACTTTTATTTTTAAAAACATCGCCTAAACATTGCTGCCCTGGGTTTTTTTTATTTAAAAAACCCCATTAATCCGCAGTATTCTCCTCCCCTCTAAACATAGTTGCTTCGCTGTAAAAAAACACATGCAGAAAAATAGTAATTCAGAATAGATCAGTAGTAGGCTGGTTAGCACCTCTGATATCTTTTCTGTCCCCTCCAAAAATCAATCAAGGGTCTCTTGTGACAAAGCACTAAAAATCACCACACCTTGAGCTCCCTGGAGTGAAAGGTGGGGAAGTAACATGTAATTAATTAAATGATGGAACCCAACCTTCTTCTGAGGAGGAATGGCTGAAATATTTGCCTGAAATCCATGTGGTTAGCAGTTTCCTCTCCAATTACTTTCCCAGCAGGAGACGGCACCTTACCTAGCGAGTCCAGAAGCTCTGGATAACAACACGCAGAGCAGCAAGGTCAGTACCCAGAGCAGCGCTAAGATAAATACTCCTGGCCCAACTCCAAGAATTGTGCCAGGCATCCTGAAAAGAAAGAAGCACTGCTGAACTTTTTGTTAGCATAGCACCACCTTTCCCATTCATTCCTGGGGGTTTGGCATCTGTGGAAGTTGTGCATTTCAACACCTCTTACAGGGTGGATTTGATTTAAATCAAATCGATTTAAATCACTAGTCAGACTTGATTTAAATCACTAGTCAGTAAGGCTTGATTTAAATCTTTTTTTTCAGCAGAAAGACTCATTCTTGCTGGTATAATCTTAATATTTACAGCCATATGAAGGTTTCATTTTTGGAATAATAAATTTTCAGAGTAGTTTTTACAGTTATATCAAAAATTACTGATTTGGTTATACTATTAGAAATACATAGATAATTATGAAATTATTGTTTATATTTGGACAACTTTTCTGCTATACTTTATTGGAAGGAGAAAAATAATCATTTCCCTAATAACAATTTGCTTAACTAAAACAATAACATTATAGCATATGTATCCATGTTTGCTAATTGATGTGGTTAAATGATTTTAAAAAACAACAACAGATTAATTTTTAGCACACATAAAAAACTTAAAACAAATCCTTATTTCCTGATGAATAGCCTTTGGACTATAATGTAACTTAAATAGAAAACTATCTTTAGAAAGATTTTTCATCCAAAAGCATTTTATTTTAAAAATCCGATTTAAATAAAAAACACACCATTTTTTTGATTATTATTTTTTTAAAATCATTGATTTTTATCCACCCTGACCTCTTAAGATATTGCAACCCAATATTGCTTGATGGCTCTTGAGATCAGGGGGTAAATTTTCATATAAATTTTTATACCATTGGGTGGCTTTTTGAATCAAGATGGCAGAGAGAACCTTTAAAAACTGATTCTTTGGTTTCTTAGAATTCTTGAACAACACCGAGTACAAGGTTGCTAATTTACAATATTTAGAAGCCATCTTTTAGGGGGAAATAACATTGCAAGGCAGTTCCCAGAATAGATTTTAAATACACGTTATGAATCGAAATAAAAAAATTACAAAAATTATCTTCAGAACCATCAGTGTCCCCTGAAAAAAATATATAAGGATGGTGTATCATTACAATTACATGCAACAAGATAATACTACCGATGTATCAATGCAGTGTGTCCAAGTAGTGTACATTTTGAATTTCTTTTAATTGTATGATTTTTGAATATATTATATGTAAAATTCTATTTTAAAAACAACATGAACCGTAAATAACCATAAAAACAGTATCACCCAGCATAATGTAATTTAAAACCAATTAAGAAAAGCCATGAACATGCATTCAGATACCAGTACGGCCATTCAATTACAGTGGTACCTCGGGTTAAGTACTTAATTCGTTCCGGAGGTCCGTTCTTAACCTGAAACTGTTCTTAACCTGAAGCACGACTTTAGCTAATGGGGCCTCCTTGCTACCGCCGGAGCACGATTTCTGTTCTCATCCTGAAGCAAAGTTCTTAACCCGAGGTACTATTTCTGGATTAGCGGAGTCTGTAACCTGAAGCGTATGTAACCCGAGGTACCACTGTACTGGTAAAAAGATCAATGGGAACCCAGGGCTTGTTTAGGAAAAAAAGCAAACTGAAAGCAAGTCTTTACTGCCCATCTGGAAGCTTGTAAAAATGTCTAGCAGAAGGGACAAAATTTTAAAAGGAGGAACATATGGCAACGCAAGACATGGGTTTAAAAAAATGATCAAAAATAATGGATATTGAACCAAAAATGTAGGTCACTGGCCACAGTCAAGCATGATTGCTGCCCCATAAAATGTGAAACTCCCTTAAGAGAACTCATGGATGAAAACATCACGTTGTCTTTATGCCCAACTTATGGTTGGCCACTGTATGAAACAGGATCCTGGATGAGATGAAGGTCTGATCTTAGGTTCTCAGTTCCCAACTTGCAAAATAGAAATATTACAGACTTACTTCACAGTAAGTGAACGCTGCTTTTTCCTCCTTCTGGTGGGGCCTCTTGCGCCTTTCAAAGCAGCATCACAAACTAGGAGCAGAAATGCAACAGATTAAGCTTTCTCCCTTTTGCTGTGTTATGTTTCCATCCCACCTGATCACTAGAAGAACTTGTAACCAAGAGCATGAACTTTCCCTTTTCCAACACATCTACGATGGCCTGGGATTTGGAGGCTGAACCTTAGAAATCCCAGCCTGCACAAGAGTCCCCGCCTCCAGAACCAGCTGAGCCGGGGCTGGGGCTTGAGCCTGAAGGGTCCTCACCTGTGCTGGACCCTCAGGTGCAGGTATCAGCTGAGTCTGCTCTGGCTCCTGAGGTGATGGAGGACCCATTGCCTGCAGGTGCTCCACTCTCAGCCCCGTCAGGGGAAAAGGAGGTTGCCTCTGGGTCCGGTAACCCTCCAGCCTCTCCTGAGCTGCAGAGGCTCAGGGCAGAGGCGGAGGGAACTAAGTTCCCGCAGGAGGAGTGCTCGCCTCCAGGCCAGGAGAGGCGAGTCACCTGTGGACCGGGGCCGCCCTATGCCTCGGGGCAGATAAAAGCCAGCCAGTCCCAGTCCCAAGTTGTGGGAGCAACATTGTTGGTAGCCTGTTCCTGCCTGCACCCCGTCCTGCTCTTCTGCCGGAGCTCCTGACCTCACCCGACTCCCTGCCTTGGACCCAGCTTCAGCTTTGATGGACAGCATCCATACCGCACCCTCAACCTTGGACTGGACTCAGACCTCGCCGCACGGTTAACCCTCGGGACCAGCACAACATCTGAGCCTGCGGGCAGCGACTGTCTTGATCCATAAGCTATTCTGGGGGCTTCCAGGGAAGTGGAAGTGCAGGGTAAAAGGTAAATAAAGTACCCCACCAAGGATCTCCAAGCTCAGGGCAGAACACAATAGTTCGCATACCCTCGTTTGAGTTATATTTTTATTTATCCCATTCATTTACCGCCTTTTATCAGAAGATCCCAGGTCGGTGTACAACATTAAGAACATGCTTTGGCTTAGGAACGTAATCTGTTCCAGAAGACTGTCCAATTTCCGAAATGTTCGAAAACTGAAAACGCAATACGGAAGCCTCAAAACGGAAAAATTAATACGAGAAACTCAATACGGAAGCCGCCTCGGGAGTTCGACTTCTGAGGTGCGTTCGAAAACGGAGACAGTTACTTCCAGGTTTTCGGCGTTCCGAGTTCCAAAACGTTTGTCAACGGAGACGTTAAAAAACCGAGGTTCCACTATAATAATAATAAAAAAGCATAACGATACGACGGCACAGTTATTAACAAAAAAATCATTTTAGCAGTTAATAAAATAAATAATAATGATAAAATAAAAAATGATAAAATGACAATTGATAAAATAATCATTTTAGCAGTTAATAAAAAAATAAATTATAAAATAAACAATAAAATAATCATTTTAGCAGTTAATAATGATAAAATAATTATAAAATAACAATGAATAAAACAATCATTTTAGCAGTTAATAAATAATGATAAAATAAATAATTATAAAATAACAATTAATAAAACAATCATTTTAGCAGTTAATTAAATAAATGATGAAATAACTAATAATAAAACAATAATCACTTTAGCAGTTAATAAAATAATGATGATGAAATAAATAATAACAAAAAATAATCATTTTAGCAGTTAATAAAATAAATAATACTGAAAATAAATAATAATAAAATAACAGTTAATAAAATAATCATATTACCATACCCCCCCAGCTTTAACAGGCCTCACAACAACCCTGCAAAGTAGGTCAGGCCAAGAAGTGATGGGGAGGGAGGAGAGAGAGAGAGGAGAGAGTAAAATAAATACCTATTAAGCGCTTCTATGCTTTTAACAGTTGTGTGAAAGAGGAAAGTTGGGGGGGCGGGGCGTGTTAGATAGATGCAGCTTCTCCCAACGGGGAGAGGCCATAAAGCTTCACCTGTTGAATCTCTGCCTGGCACAACAAGGTGAGCCCAACCTCGCAGGGCTGTTGTGTGAGAGGAAGTGCGAGATTGAAGCCCTTTGGAAACCAAAGCTTTGCCGCTGTAACAGACCCGGGGGTCTCCCCCTCACAGAGCGGAGCCCAAAGAAGCAGCTGCCCCGCTCCCTACCAGCGGGCAAGTCCCGCACAGGCGGTGAAGGCCCCTCCGTGGAAGTTTTCAGTCCTCGCCTCAACCACCTTAACCAATCCCAACGAAGATTCTAGTCAACCCCGCCCGGCGGGAGCCAATGACCACTTTCGTTTCATCCCTCTTTCCAGACCGGATTGGAGGTTACCATGGGCAACCCGAAGCCTTCTGCCAGAGGGCGCCGCGGCTTTTCGGGAACGCGCCGGCTGATTGGCTCAGGGGACGAGGGGGAGTGCGCTCTGCACCAATCGGCTTCTCGCCTTCTGCCCGCCGGCCTCCCCCGTCGGAACGAGAGCCGTCGCTCCCGCCGGGAGTCGCGCAGAATCAGACTGCCGCTCCGATTAGCGGGTCTGCTCGCTCTGTCCAAGGAAAAATGCAATGCATGTTAATTGCATTTAAATAGATGCCGGTTTTTTTCCAAAACTGTCAAATTAGCTAGCGCTGGGGATGAGCTAAAAATAAGGATAACGAGAAGCCCTTCCGCAAGAAAGTGGCAAAGTTATTCTGAATTTGTGACCCATTTTTACTGTATAAACACAATGAGGGTTTAACTCCGCCTTTCCCCACGGTGCCCGAGATCACTGACAATAAAATGTGTGAGAGCTTGTCTACTTTTAAAATTTTCACTTTTGATCTTTTTCTCCTAATTCTTTATTTGCTCTTTGTTCTTTTTTCTTATATCTTACCTTTCATTATCTTTCATTTCTCCTCTTTATTGTGAATAGTATTTTATAGAGGTATAAATATAAATAACTAAATTTGAAAAGAGACAAAATATTTTCTAATTATTTTCTTGGTTATATGTATTTTCTCTTTCTTGTGTATTTTCTTTTTTTGCATATTTTCTTTTCTTTTCTAATTTGTACTTAATAATAAATGGGTGACACTGAAATAGGTGGCTATCATTCTTCTTATTTTTTTTATTCTAGTGTTCCTATTGTACCAAAGCCCAATACAGTACTGAGGGCATAGTGCAGATCCACAAATATGAAAAGTGAAAAGCATCGAAAGTACTCAATTCTGCCCCCAACTTTGATTTCCTAAAAAAAAGCTCAACAACTCCCCCCTCCCAATATATTACCGTATTTTTCGCTCTATAACACGCACCCGACCATAACACGCACATAGTTTTTAGAGGAGGAAAATCCGTAGGCATGCCACCCGTAGGCATTCCCTCCATTACACGCACAGACATTTCCCCTTACTCTTTAGGAGGAAAAAAGTGAGTGTTATGTGCAAAAAATACGGTAATTCATTTTTTGGGCAAAGGTGGTGGGTGGTGCAGAGATGAAGTTGTGGTATATGCACATGTGTTTCTGCATTTTCTACCTCTGCTAAAAACTTTTTTTTTATATAGAGGAAAACATTCCTATGCTTGTCATGCTTGTGGTATTTTGAACATTAAGAGAAGATCCAAAATAGAAATACTTGTACTATCAACTTGCGACTAATTTACCATCTGTCCTTTTCCTCCTCCCCCCCTTTTTCCCCTCTTTTCCCAGATTTGCTAAGGGACTGCAGTATCTGGATTTCTGTTTTCTTTAAAAGTCCAGCAGCGTCAGTAAGAAACGAAGATACTGTCTGTGTGAGCTCAGTCTTGCTTTTGCCTCATGTTGACATATCCTCCAGCAGACAGCTTTAAAAGGGCATTAGACACATTTGTGATGTAGGGCTGGAGGATGCGGGTGCAAGAGGGCCATTGGGTCCAGGGTGTGTGGGTGTGTGTGTGTGCGCACGCGCGCGCGCAGAATTTTAGACAATTGCTGATTTGTTGACATTTAATAAGTTTCTCAGCTTATTTATAGGCACAGGAGACCCAAATGTGACATGAGCTCTCAGCTTCGTGCTGCAAGTTTAAGCAAATAAAGAGGATACGATTTGGTAAAAGTCATAGCTTTTTTTTTTTGTTAGCTGATACAAATTTGGTCATATTAAACCAGGGGTAGGCAACCTAAGGCCCATGGGCCGGATGTGGCCCAATCGCCTTCTCAATCCAGCCCACGGACGGTCTGGGAATCAGCATGTTTTTACAGGAGTAGAATGTGTCCTTTTATTTAAAATGCATCTCTGGATTATTTGTGGGGCATAGGAATTCATTCATTTTTTTCTTCAAAATATAGTCCGGCCCACCACACGGTCTGAGGGACGGTGGACTGGCCCACGGCTGAGAAAGGTTGCTGACCCCTATATTAAAGGGTTTTCAAAATGTTTATGATATACAGTCATACCTCATATTACGTTCTTTCAGATTACGTCCTGTGGTGACCCAGAAGTACCGGAAAGGGTTACTTCCGGGTTTCGCCGCTCGCACATGCGCAGAAGCGCTAAATCGTGCTTCGCACATGCTCACGAGCGCCAAATCGCGCCGTGTACCTGCGCAGATACAGCACTTCAGGTTGCGCTCTTTTCATGTTGTGAACAGGCCTCCGGAACTTATCCCGTTCGCAACCAGAGGTACCACTGTACAGTCATACCTTGGGTTACAGACGCTTTGGGTTGCGTGATTTCGGGTTGCATACCGTGCCAAACCCGGAAGTACCAGAATGGGTTAGTTCCGGGTTTTGGCGCTTGCACATGCACAGAAGCGCTAAATTGTGCTATGCGCAGAAGCACTGAATCGCGACTCGCGCATGCGCAGACGTGGCGCTACAGGTTGCGAACACTGCAGGTTGTGAACGTGCTTCCTGCACGGATCATGTTCGCAACCCGAGCGTCCACTGTATACAAATATATCAACCCTGATAGCAGAAGATTAGACACAAAATTTAGTGTGTCATCTTTAAAAAAAAATGTTATTATAGCTAGGGATCTCATAAGCTGGAAGGGGCCCTGGGTCTCTATGAACTTCTGAAAGGGCCTGCATTCATATAAGAGAAGACTAATAATAATAATAATAATAATTACTATTACAGTTTGTATACAACAGCAAGAAGGCTATTTATCCTCATGCCTTAGTTGTGCACTTCCTGAAGGCATCTGGCTGGTCACTGTGGAAGCTGGAAGGGATATCTATGCTCAACAGAAATCCATGGATATGAAGAGATTTAATAGATGCCCTCAATGCAAAGAGGTTTTTTAAGATTGTCTAGGTTTCCATTATTTTCCAGGAGTGGCTTGTCAGTCTTTCTGGACACCCTACCCTCACCCAAAACCATGATCTAGAACCCAGTTTCTCTCTCCGCCACATTCATATTCATACATTTCCTCTGTTCTCCATAACACAGGATTTCACAAGACAGGGAATTAAGCTTTTCCAGATTCGAAACAGAGTTGGGAGGTGAAGAGGTGGGTGAGAGGGGGAAAAAGTTGATGGAACTGAACTGGAAAAAGAAGTTAGGGCAAATTACAGCTGCCTGACCTTTCTGAAACACCACTAACTTGGAGGAGAACATGCAGATGGGAAAGATCATAGCAACCCAGAGACAGAGGGCATAATGTGAATAACACACTCCTTGCTTCTCTTTCCATTAATCAGCATTTGCACTCCAGATCCAGGTGTGCCACAGCAAGACAGGAATGCAGATTCCATCCCATAGTAAGAAAGGGAATGTAGGAGGGGAAAAATAATACAATCAGGCTTAGGAACCATGCCTTAGGATGACCTCCCATTAACCCAAATGGTGTTGTTTTTTTTAAAGCACCTTTGAAAATATTTGACCTTTTAACCAAATGGCAATAAAGGAGGGCACAAGAGAGAAAAGCATCTTAGAAATTTGTGAGGGCGTCTCAGCCATGAACCGTAAATAATCACTAGATCAAGGTAAGTATGCCTTTCCTGACTGATCATTGAGGAGTGGAAATATTCTGTGGAGAAGCTCCCCACAAAATGGACCTTCCCTAATGTATCGCCTGTGTTTCTTTGATCAACATTACTGACATCACAGATTGAGTGACCCAACCCTGGATTTCTAACCCCCCAAAATGACCCAGGTAGTAGATGAGAGGAAAGACTTCCAGAGAGTGCACCAGTCAGTGTAGCCATTGTGGGGATATATTCATAAATAGCCTGACTTGGTATTAGGCTGCTTAGATTCCTGGTTGTTAGTGTGGTTTCTTTGTCCTACTCTGAAGAAACCCTCAATTTCAGGGGTGGGGCACCTGATCTGGCTGGCGAACCAGATCATAATCTCTCCTACCCCTGGGGAGGGGGCAAATTTGACAGGTGGGCATGGCTGGACACCTGTCAATCGGCTCACGTCACAATGAAATCACATGATCCTGCGACTTCAAAGCACCACGCAGGGTCTTGCACAATGCCCTGGAACGCTGCTGACCAGCAGGCTTGAAATCATTGGATTGGGGCCTGTATATTTATGCAGACATTTGTATTAATGCATTTATTTTGTATGTTTTAGCTTGCTGTGCACATCTTAGAGGAGATATATATATATTGTTTACTCGTATCCGACTCTTCGTGACCCCATGGACCAGAGCACGCCAGGCACTCCTGTCTTCCACTGCCTCCCACAGCTTGGTCAAACTCATGCTGGTAGCTTCGAGAACACTGTCCAAATATCTCATCCTCTGTCGTCCCCTTCTCCTTGTGCCCTCAATCTTTCCCAACATCAGGGTCTTTTCCAGGGAGTCTTCTCTTCAAAGTATTGGAGCCTCAGCTTCAGGATCTGTCCTTCCAGTGAGCACTCAGGGCTGATTTCCTTCAGAATGGATAGGTTTGATCTTCTTGCAGTCCATGGGACTCTCAAGAGTCTCCTCCAGCACCATAATTCAAAAGCATCAATTCTTCGGCGATCAGCCTTCTTTATGGTCCAGCTCTCACTTCCATACATCACTACTGGGAAAACCATAGCTTTAGCTATATGGACCTTTTTCGGCAAGGAGATGTCTCTGCTTTTTAAGATGCTGTCTGTATATATGGAAATGGTCTAAGTTAACAAAATAAGAAATATTATTACTTTCATTATGCACCAGGTTTCTGGGTGCTGACCAAACCCACCTTAGGCCTTACCAGGGTTGCTCCATCACACCAAGGATTCTTCACCATGCACTGGCATTGGAGCAGGCTCCTTCCAGCTCTGTGAAATTCAT